TTCATTATAGGTCAATTTTTTTTAATACCATAGATATGTATATAATATGTCTTATACCTAGAAGGACATACCGTCTCCACTCAGAATCGTTTTTCTTATACAATGATATTATATCATTGAATTCAAATTTAATACCATCCATTATACAATGACCCACTTGTAACCTACAGTACAGCAGAGCGACATCCACTTACCCACCTTTTTCCTTGCAGACACAAACAAAAATAAATGAATAAATAAATAAATAAAAAGAAAAATAATTTTAAAATCAATACATTCATCGTTCCGCTCAGAATTTAAAATCGAATTTAGGACAAATAGTTATAAGTAACTTATTAGTTATAAGTATTTAAAGTTTAGATGAGAGGTATGAAGTGGTACTCGGTTAGCCGCAAAATTTTGTTCCACTTCTCCCTCGTCTAAACTTTAAATACTTATAAGTTATAACTACTTGTCCTGAATTTGATTTTTATGTATCGAAATACTGGGATAAATATTCTGTTTTGGAATATGAAATTAAAACTGTATGTTGTCATTTAAAAAAGTAAAAAAACTTAAGAGGACGCTACACAGCGTTTATTTTTTTTTTAGATTCTGAGCGAAGCGAAAGAATGTATTGATTTTGTACCATGATGTGTGTTTTTTTATTTTTTTTTCTGGCTGTCAGCAACATTTTGGATGGTAAAAACACTGCGTTTTTTGAGATCACCATTTTTTTCTGATAGAAAAGTTAATCTAGTTGGTATGTTCGGGAGGTCAAAATTGAAAATTCCAAATAATTTCTAAAAGCGTAATTTTTATGCAAATCCAATTTTTGAAAAAATCGATTCAATTTTTTTTTGTGTAACTCCAAAAGTAATAATCGCAAATCTTTAAAATTTTCACCAAATATTTATATTAGTATTTTTAATGAATGGTAATAGTTTCAAATATTTTGACTCTTTTTCAGATAGTTATAGCCTTGATAAATTTTTATAAAATTGTAAATTTTTTTTAATTATTCTTGATGAGGACTTTTTCAATTAGTAAAAAAGTTTGTAAATGTAATACAATGGTTCCTTAAAAGTTTCGTTAATATAAGTTAAAAAATATATGTAATACATATAGGCCCGATTATTTTTTATATGCATTTAAAATTTAAATGTTGACAAAATTTCGAAAATGTTCCAACTATTTTTAAGTTAGAAATTCATAATAGTTTTTCTTTTCATATAGCTTACATAAGACATTTTAATAGAAGAATCATAACAAGTTTTTCTACCTCTATCAAAAAGAAAGAGTTCACCGGGAAGTCACGCTATCTATGGCCATGAGATATTTTAGATTATTATAAAAAAAAAAATGTTTAACTACCTATTAATTTTGATTATTTATACAAATCTGACACGTCTCTGCTCAGAATCGTTTTTCGTATACAATGATTTATGTTTGAATATTCTGCAATTATAACACATCCATTACAACAGAAAGCTCGACAACTAAACTGTATGTACTGCAGAGTGGTAGCCACTTGTACTCCTTCTTAAATTTTGTGTTTTTAACGACAAAAATCGTGTAGGCATTTTTTTCAAAAAACATTTACCTGTACTTTTTGAAATAATGAGTGTTCGAATCAACCGGTATAACCTTTCGATCCATCCTATTTTCGATCCCAGGAACAGTATTAAGTATAACATACTGCGTAGATTTAATAGTGATGTATAGTGTCTTACACCTATTATATAACATATATGTATAAGGTTGCGATGGGATTTCAACGACGTCGGTCATTCGTATAGCCACTACAACGGGTCATTACGGGTGGAATCGTCGACTTTTTACTGTCCACCGGCTAGACCCTTCCCGGACGAACCCGACCGTATGATCGAATTCGGTGGCGACCCATTCACAGCGATAATAATTGTTGTGGGTTCAGACATAATGCCAAATAATTGCACGTAGGATTCCTCTACCGCATAGCATAATAATATATCTGTATATTTCATGGGGGTTGCTGGAAGCTCGAGCGGATGCCAGGATTGAGCTGGTAAGGGACAACCGCCCGACGACCGCCAAACCCTGTGACGTGGTATTGTGGTTACCTACGTATTATAATAGAGCATCCACGTCGTAGATTCTACTACATATAATTATTATGTTTACGTCCCGACCGACAGAATCTCATATAATTCATTATACCTAATATTAATATTTATATAATGATAATATTGTTATCTCTCATGACCGCTGTGGTCCGACAAAATCTAGAAAACTCATGTAATATACAAAACTATGGTCCATTTATTATAGGGACTGGAACCGAACCTAAAAGAGCCGGTTCTGGAACCGGAACCGAAACCTTTATTTTAATAGATTAAGTACCGGAACCAATTATGAATTTTTAAATTAAATGGAATCTTTTAGGTTCAAAAATAAAGTTATTTTATTTATCATAAATTTATGGTATTACTGTTTTGTGTATAAACTATGTATAATCATTATTTGGAACCGATACCTTTATTTTTTTTTTTTATCAAAAAACCAGAACCGACCCGGGACCATTATTTTATTTTTGGAGAACCAGTACTGGAATCGATAGTGATAAATTCAAAAGGTTACAGTTATTGGTTTTATATTATTTTCTACACGAGTGTTTGTTGAAGATGGCGATGCTACGCAGAAGAATCTCCCATAGACAGTGTTGGGTAAATTACTTTTAAAAAGTAATGAAGTTACGTTACTCGTTTCTTCAAATATTTTTATTTAAATTACATTTGGATTACCTAAAATTATTTTCATTACGTTACATTACATTTGCATTAATAAAGTAGTACCTACACTAGTACATAACAAATAACGTTACTATTTTTATAATTTTTTTAACCATATTCAATGCATATGATTCAATTATTATTATATTGTATATATTTTACAATCATAGACCTATTTTAGTGTTATGTACAAATGTACAATCATCTCACCTCTATGGCTATATAGTCATAAGTCATAAATCATAACTAATTTTTATTACATTTTATTTTTAAACTAAACTCTTTTCTTTCTGCTGATAAAGAGATAACATTTATTCCTGGAATGTTTTACAATCATAATTTAAACCTCGGTTACGCTTAACCCACTGATTTTACCGGACGATTTTAACGATTGTAATAAGGGCACTAATACATTCAAAACTATTATTTTAATATCGTAGAAAATAATGTGTTAGTGCGTTATTTCATAGAAATTACTTTTCAAAAGTAATTTTGTTACAATTCCGTTACCCTAAGTAAAATGTAATGAAATTACTGTTGCATTACTGAAAAAGTAATCGCGTTACGGTAATTTGTAATTTACGTTACTTTACTACCCAACACTGCCCATAGGAACAATGTCTTTCTCATTGGTTATTGAGAATTTTATTTTTATAAAACGAGTAAGGTATAAAAAAGAAAACAAACATTGTATTTCCTAAAATCATAACTGTTGGCTAACCATAACATAAGTTATTATTTTTTATTATAATACTCAAAGGCACATGAAAACAATATTTTAGTTGTTATACCTATAATAGTAACATTTTTTTTTTTTTTTATTTAAGTTTTGTAAACAAAAACACTACCCCATAGGCTATAATAATATTATTTATGTGATAAATGATAATCGAAATATATCAATTATAGTTTATAACCTCCCTGCTACTTCACAGCTTATAAAAATATATTTGTGTGCTAATATTCGACCTTTTTGAGTCCATATAATATAATATATTATATAGCCATATAGGTACTATAGGTAATCACTCAATGTGCACAATACCGATATCTGTGAATAAAATGTATTTTGTATTTCACTTTTATACAACAATTGTTTTCTATAAAATATGTCAACAATTAAAGAAGTACGGGTTAAAAATTAATTATTATATTTATTATACTACATTATTTTACAATGAATTTATATTCAAACAAAGTAAATTATTTTTACAAAAAATAAAAATAATAATTGTAAACATAAAAAAGATTTTAATCTTATTAAATATCAGATCACAGGAAAATTTGTTTGGTATAAACATATATTCGTACAGGGTGTACAAAGTATTTTCAAAACACAAAAATAGAAGACATTTTCAAACAAATATTGTATTTATATGTAAATATTTAAAAATAATAAAATAAAAATTCTGTATAAAAGTTTCAATTATAGTTATAACATACATTATACATAGTATATTATTATTATGTTACAGCAATAGGATTAGAATTGTGTAGGGTAGTAACATGAGGTACCTATAGTGTTTTTTTTGTAACCAAAAAAAATATACTTTTAACTTTGCAAAATTGCTAATTAAGCGCGTCAAATCCAATTTGTTTTAATAGGTACATGATTCTGCACCACGAATAACCAATATATGAATACATATTTCTGTTGTAATCCTCGTATGTACCAAGCGCGGTTACTACCGTATCGCGAGCATCCGATTCAGCAATAAATCACACATATCATATTATATTCTCAGGAAGTCGTTGCATCGCCAAAAAATATGGTCCCGACTCCCTGAAAATAATACCACGCACTTTGTCATTCCACCTCGGGCCCTTTGTATATATAACGTGTATTTTCTATCCCTCCGCGGTCGGTTTTCATTACGACTTACTAGTGATTCTTCGTGTTTTGACAATAATGTTCCCTCCCCAGTCGGCTTTCATTATACGACTTACCAGTGATTTTTCGTGTTTCGACCATGTTAAGTGAATTGGACGGACGCTTCGGCTTTGTTTGACCTGGCGCAAAAATAATAGCTCCCTCCGCGGTAGCAGTTTATTATTATTATTATTATTATTATTATTATTATTATTATTATATTATTGCCCGAGTATAAAACAACAAAACACCATTAATTACCGTCTCGTGCGCGTGCGTGGGTATCCTTATAACAATATTACACAAGTATATATAGTGATAATAATGTATAGCTTTTTAATACTCGATGTTTTCATTTTCATTTTTTTTTTTTTTATCAGGAACGGCTGTTGTTGTCCGTGTTACCGGAACACGTAGCCGTCAAAATGCGCCAGGATTTGGGTGAGGCATTGGATAGTCAATTCAAAAAGATATACATGAGTCGACACGAAAACGTTAGGTACGTATTACGTGCCTATAGTCTATTTAATAATATTATATATATATATGTACTGCGTTTATGTCTCTGTACACACATATTTATGATGGTATACACATTGGTAGTAGGTATATAATAATATATATTACATGTGCGTATTTGTGTAGAGTTAAAAATGAAATAACGAAAGTCGAATTTCGTCAAAAGAAAATCATTATCAAAAGAACTTTTATGATGACCTTATGACTTTTGTCGGAAAATTCAATTACTAAAATGTACACCACCGCCGCCGTCTCCTACATAATATATATTATTATATTTAATATACGAAAATTGATAATGACGAAAACTCAAACGTTCGTCTTGTATAATATTTCGTAATCATACTTTTAATTGTCGTGGTTCTATGTTTTAATTGGTTGATAAAATAATTACAATAATAATATAATATACTATACGACATGGCAAATTAAATACAAACACTCGCGTGCGTATTGCACAACCATTCTCGTCCCGGCCCAAATTTATACCTACGTAGATGGCATTAATTATACATTTTTTTTAAAATATAATATAATACAGTTATGCGTGGCTTATCGAAAGTATAATATTATATAGCTCTTCTAGAACAATATTATAATTTGTTGCACAAAGTTTAATGGACGATGATAGTATTTTAATTTGAACGATTTATAAAGAATAATTTAATCAAAGTTATAACTATTATAGTTTTATCAACAAATGTACAGCGTTATGACGTGAATGTATAATAATATTGTAAATCATCAACAGTGAAAAGATTGCATTCAATCAATTAAATGTATTGTTCATCGTCGACAATTTAAAAATAATATATGTCACTGAATAAGGAAAACAATATATTAGGCATACAAATTACAATTTGAGCTGAACTCAATCGCACATAATATCAAACACACGAACGTCTCATACTAAATGGGCTCCGTTCAAGTAGAATTTAATATTTGCAATGTTCTGTTTATATACAAAGGCAATATATTTTCTTTGATATTTATGTTTTGTTGTTTGGACATTTGTTCAATATATTTTGTAAAATAGATTCCGACACACGACGGCGTTGTTACTTATTATATGTTTGTGATGTCAAATACTATGTAAAGAGCCCAACGGAAAAATTCCTTCTATATAATATGTTCAGTACCTTGTTATTGTAATCGCTTTCTTCAAAAATAACTATAATTGCAAAATGTTTTTATTCTATCAGAAAATAAAAAAAAACAAATTTAACCAATAAGGCACAATAGTATAATATTATTATAGTCTGTCTAAAAACGTTTGTTTCATAATTTAAACTATTTAAGTATAATATTATGTTATACGTAAGTACACAATTGATGGTACATAATTTTTCACAGTTGTGGATTACATTTTTGAATTCGATAGCATTAAGCTTTCAACCTTTAAAAGTGAAACATTGTAGCCACACAACGATGATTAAATTAATCAAAATTCACAATTATATATTATGTGATGTATGTCATGCGCTTGGCGCTTGCTATTATACGATATTCATATTGTTTGATCATAATATAAAACAATAATGTTTCGATTTAAGCATTATTTTTGCCATTCCACGTGATCGTTATTAATGAAGTGGACTTATTTATAAGTACTGCAAATATTTTCTTACCTCGAGTTGTAAAATTAATCAAGTCCAAACAATGGTCTTTTTAATTTACGAATTACTTTATGTAATATAACGAAAACTATAACAAACAAATTAATTAAACGGTACGCGGGTTAATTTCATTGTTACTTTTTGTGTTCTGTTGAGTGTTATAATACGCAAAGCCGTAAAGCCAACTTTTAAGGAGAGCAAGGTAGGTAGGTAGAGGGTTTTGCTTCTGTATTTTGCCGTTAAAGATTGTTTTTGTAGAAACCCAATCTAGCAACCTTCGTCGAAAACGTCTCATTTAAGTTATTCAAAAACCATTTGAAATAAATTATATAACTTAGAAATATATAGCTATTCGGTAATATTATGTAACTCTTGTCCTAAATTATCCACATACGTGCTCACAATACAACATAAAATGTATAGTTTTAAAATATTCATTTTTCATATATTCTTTCGTAAAGTAAAAGAAAAAAAAACTCATATACAAGAATGAACGTTCATATTGAATTTTCTTCCGCTACATTGTGTTTTACTTATTTTTATTTTTTTCTTTGTATATATTCTAAGGTATTTTTTTATTATATTTTATCATTTTTAATTCCATTTTTTTTATATACATATATATATATATTATATAGGTACAATAACTTTGATTTACATATGTGACCGTTCATAAATTATAATATATTTTATTGCATTACAGTATATTGTATGCCGACATCGTTGGATTCACGGCAATATCGTCAACATACTCAGCGTCCGACTTGGTGAAAATTCTCAATGAGCTGTTCGCCAGATTCGATCGACTGTCCGAGGTGAATTATTCATTTTTATTGTGCGATAGCTCCTAATAACTATTGTGCAACTACCTAAAATACATATTATTATTATTGTACACCCTACTACACCGCTGTGTATCGTACACTTTATTTCACGCCTAAACCATTTCCAGAAATACCAACAACTCAGGATCAAGATTTTGGGCGATTGTTACTATTGTATTAGCGGCGCTCCCCAAGAACGACCCGACCACGCTGTGCTCAGCGTCCACATGGGACTATCCATGGTCAAAGCTATCAAGTAAGAATTAGGATTTTCGCTCAGATTTCCAAGTCCCAGCAGGCTTAAGTATTGATATATTATTTTGTTTTTTCCCCGCCATACCAGATACGTACAACAGACGACCAACTCGCCGGTGGACATGAGGGTGGGCATACACACGGGAGCCGTCTTAGCCGGTGTCCTGGGTCAGAGGCAGTGGCAGTTTGACGTTTACTCCAAGGATGTGGAATTGGCGAATAAAATGGAAAGTAGCGGAATGCCGGGGTACGTCCGTCCGTGCGGGAAAAAAGACAAATAACACCTATGCATCATTTTTTTTTGACGAAACGTGATTCTTGTTGTGTTTTCAGACGAGTGCACATATCTGAAAAAACGTTGAGTTTCTTAAATGGAGAGTTCGAGGTCGAGCCAGGCTACGGAGAACGGCGCGAAGAAGCTCTAAAGATGGCCAGCATAAAAACTTTCTTTATCATAAAAACGATCAAACCGGTAATAACAACTGTCATTCGAGTATAGATTTTGCACGTTGTCAGATGAGATTTTTTTTAAAACTATATTTTCGTTTTTCGCGTGGCAGTTCAAAATGGAAGTGCAAAACGGATCGTTGACCGATCAGCACAGTGCAAGCAAAGAATCTGTGGTAAGTATTTTGCAGTTTTTTGGACTGTTTTCACGGTTCCTCAATTGATTTGTAATAATTACCGACAACTTGTGTGTGTAAACAGTGCGCGACACCGATTGACGACGCCGATTTAATAGCTCAGGCCAAAGAGGACTCCGATAACTTTAAGAAGCGATTGAGAAAGGATTTGATGAACAGAGATGGCCACAGGTAATTGATAACTTGGGTGCACCATACTCCAATTGGGTGTATAAGAATTATTTTCACTTTGGCCAATATTACATCTTTTTAAGGGGCTATAGCATGGTTGAAATATTCAAGGTTATTGCATTTATACCCCTTCTTAATCAAATATTTGATGATAAAAACAAAAATGGCAGTATAAAGGGAGCCAATAATAATCAAGTATACATGAGCGGGAATTTTGAATTTGTTAGATTTTGTGATATCCTTTTACGCAGCCATTTTTTTTTGATAACAATCCTAATCAATATGTAATAACCTGTATATTTCAACCATGGGCTGTAGGTTACAATATTATTACATAATATTATACATATTTCATACATTATGAATTATGATATAGGCAATATTATTATGTTTTCACTATGGATGTGGTTCAGGTGCCCCCAAACTCCCACCCACCCACAACATGTGACACTGCGGCGTGTGCTTAGTCATTATAAAATATACTTGAAGTATAATTATTATTTGGATGAATGGTTTTGTAGTGTTTCCACTTTTTACCTAAATGTCCAGAACATTAAATCAGATAAATATAATTTAATAATAGGTACCGTCACACATTGATTGTTGTAGGTACAACTAATGTCCAATAATATTATAAAAACAATAGAAACCCCGTTCGGTATATTTCTGGGCTAATTGAATTTCATTCGTTGTGTCGTAAGGTTTTGTTCTATAATGGTCCTGAATATTGACGAAACAATGCTCTCGTGTCGAAGATTCCGAGAATTCCACAAATAATATTTCATTATTGTTAGGGTGTAGGTTGTACAATGTTTCACATTTATATTGTAAATTAATATATTATTTCTGTGAACCGAATATTACAATAATTTCTCTGAAATATGTACAAATTTATTTAAATTTAAATTGGCAAGAGTCTGAGACCAATCATTGATATTTGATTGCATAACTACCCTTCTATGTTGAAAATATTTTATGAGATGGTGGATGTTTAACAGTAATAATGAATTATACCTTAGCGTAATAGGGGCTAGTTCCATCCCCCCCTCCTGAAGTTTTTTTCGTGAAAAATGATGTCATAAAGTAACATGTGGTGAGTATTCAAGTTCTACAGAAACTTGAGAAAAAGTAAGCCCTCCCCTAAAAGAAAAATGTGTAAATATTTCTGCACTGACATATATAAAATTATGTCTATTGGCTATTACCTATAATACCTACTATGTTACATATCTATATCTTTTTTTGTTGTGATATGGCGAAAAGGAAGTGAACCGTTTGACAATACTTACCTCATGTTACTTATATCTTACATGGTGATATTATATATTTTATCAAAGAACACTCATTATTACACCCATAAGGGGGGTGGGGGGAGCGAAAAAAATTTAGTCTAGAATACTGCTTTTAATAATTAACAAAATTTATAAAATGTATTTATCTATTAGTAAAAACAGAATATCTCACGACTTACCCTCCGTAAGGGGTGCGATCATTACTTGAGAGTACCTACATGGTTTTATTTTGTTCGTTCTCCACCTGACCTTATCGAATATTGAAATATGCAATATGATGATAAAAGTGTATCTAGTAGCTACTATTTATCGTTTGGGTTTTGGTATAATATAACAGATAAGATGAAGAATTATGGGCCCTGTAATATAATATTATATTATACTGCACTATATAATATAATTTGTATTAAAATTTAATTTTAAAATCGTTAATGATATCAGATATAATTTTAAACCAATAAAAATGCCACAAGGCTTGCTGTAGTATTATGTATAAAAACAGTACCTATATTTTAATGAAACAATAAATATAGCAACAAACATCATTAGTAAATAGTAATATTGTTGAACGTTTGAATTAAATTGTTTTCGTTCTCCGAAAAGTATTAATCAGTGAGGCCAGTTTTATATTATATGAAGCTCGACCAAGCAATAGGGGGGAAATGTTTTTACAACACTTGATACGGAGGGCTTCTTCTACTTGTATCACATTAATCAACTTCTTGAACATGTATTTAACAGTTAAATTCATATTTTATTTTAACTAATGATTTGTATAGTGAAATGACTATATTGTATTATTATAGATACAATTATATCGGAAATCAGTAGTTGGTCGAATTGCGTTTGTCTATTATGTCCTAACAAAAGTTTTTCTGGTGACTGACGTATCACGGAACGAGGTGTATTGCGATATAAAAACAAACATTCAAACGTTTGTAATGTGTTAACAATAGATTTATTTTTTTATTATTTTGACTCCCGATTCTGCGGCCCCATTAGTTTTGGTATGGAAAGGTGCACCGACTTAATGTTTAATACCTCCACTGGTGCAAAACGTATTGAATTCAGTCTCCGTGAAACATTTTGTCCCGTCTGAAGTGATCGATGTGGGTACTGCAGGATACTCCGAAACGTGCGAATAAAGCCTGAATTTTAGCTACCTCTGCACAAACAGCTTTTTTTTGCACGAATTTGTTTCGAAAACATTGAGCCATTCTGGTATCACATCAATAAGGAAACTTTTTCGTAAGTACCTAAAAATATTTAAGAATGTCCACGCTTGTTTGGGTCATTTTCGCGGTGTGCAGACACGGCCTTCAGCTATAAGTGCAACTAGGGTGGCTGAGGGGCTTAGCCCCACTCAAAACAACTTGTTAAGCCCCCCAACTAAAAAAAAACAAATATTTAATTGTTTCCTAAAGTATCAATAAATCTAGATAAGTGGGAGTTCCACATGAGAAAGTCTTATTTTATGCTTACACGAAAAGTACGGTTTTAAAGGTAAATTGATAATTCCCCCGGGACATTTTCCCACCAAATATTTTCTGTGTAGTAGGAGACATTTTCCCCGAGACATTTTTAAAGGAAGAATTCCCCCCCCCCCCAATTAAAACTTTGAAAAACAAATATTTTGAAAAATAATAATGAGTGTTTTATTGCCCGTTAGGTATGTATACTAATCCATAATAATATTAATAAGAATAAAATAACACAATCATTTTGAAGTTATAACATAATACTTAAATATTATAATCAATACATTAATAGTAATTTACATTTATGATTCGTTTGAAGGGATTTAAACAAGCATACAAAATTTTTCACTTTGGCATTTAACGATGAAGCAAAAGAACGCGAATACAAATACCACAAGGAAGCTGCATCTGGTGTGTCTCTTATAGGTTGTCCGTTAGTACTGTTCTTAACGTCTTCCGCACAAATTATTATGTTGCCCAGGTTTGTAATAAATAACATATACATAATATTATAATAAAATGTACAAACCTAATTTGTTTTAAAATTATAAAACTCTAATAATACTTTATATTGTACTTTGTAGAGATATTTTAAGCTACATGTCCAGTTGTCTTGCATTAGTATTACTATTGATTATTGTAGTAGTATCAGTCGCAGACATTTTCCCAAGAGTAAGTAAACAAAACGTTGTAGTTTTCTGTGTTAAAAGCAATGTAATTCATTATTATAAAAAATATATGTACCAACCGTAGTACAGGTGCTATCAATGTTTATTTGAAGTATGGTTTTATATTATTCATGCTGATATTTAAATAGGCACCTATACCTATATTATTATATAGGACTATATATGAATATACCTGTCACCATAGTGCGATAATGCAATACATTTCTACTATTTTGACTTGAGATACACATTGGTAATTCACCGAGCATCCCTATATGTTTCTCTTTAACAATGTATTTATTGATTTTTTTTTAATATTTAAGTGTTCTTAAAATCATACTTTCAAATAGGTACTTATATTGTTTCTACCACTTAAGGAGTGTTTCTGTGAAGTATTCCTGTGGCGATACCAACTTTTTTTTAAAAATGAGAATCATATTTTTTCCCGATAGTAATTAAGAATATGACTTTAATAAAATGTTCATGTACCTATACTTTTAAAATTCGAAACTATCCAAACTATTAGTTGTTTGAGTTATTTAACTTTGTAAAGGAAGGTACTTAGTGTTATTTTGTGAAACTACTAGTTCGAATTTTGATTTTGATGCATCAACATACTCAAAAACATCATATGCTCTATAATTTACATTTTACAGTAAAAAACTTTGACTCTTGTTTGATAAAAGAAGCTTTTATCGCTACCGGACACTTTTAAAAAGTTTAAACTGTTTAAAAATACATCCTTAAGTAACATCGAAAATCTAAAAACTAGAAATTGATATAATTCATTATTAAACAGGGATGGAAAACGTTTTTTTTAAATGTTTTTAAAAACGTTATTAAACGGAAAAAAACAAAAAACGATAGCAAAAATCCCCAAAATTTAATAACGAAATCGAAAACGAAAATAAATTATAGTATTATACATTATTATATTAATACCATGAAAAAAATTTTACTCAAGTCTTTACTTTTTAATCTCACCAATAAAACACATTTAAAATTTTAAAACATTTGAATTTGAAATCAGAAATTTTAAATTTTTTTATAAATTATAATTTTGATTTAAAATTTAAATATTTAGAATAATTAATTTCATTTTTTAACTTTTAAGTGCATATGTCTATATTGCGCGTTACTATTATAAAAAAATAAAAACAATATTATTAAAAATGTTATTTGGAAACAATAGGAACATGACGTTTTTAAAAACGTTAATCAAAAACGTAATAATAAAAAACGTTAAAAAAGTTAAACAAAAAAGATATTTTTTAAATCAATAAGCAAAAACGAAAACTAAAAAACTAAAAACGTTTTTCATCCCTGTCATTAAAGGAAAATATGGATGGCCGAGCATGGTTAATCACCCTGTATAATAACATCTAAATTTAGTTACCTATATTTGCTATTTAAATTAAATTTCCAAAAAAAAAATACACATTTACTTTTCTGCAGTACTTAAAAGTTCAAAATAATTGAACACACATTTCATATTTTTTAAAACAGCCACATAGTGAACAATCGCAAAAGTCATTATAATCAAAATTTCATGCTTACAATTTAATTGTTATTAGATTCTGCCATCAAAAATCGTATGGTTCAGTGAGACCATAAATGACTCTTTATGGATTCGACGTATACTTGGCATCACTGCCGCATCATTGCTAGCGTCTACCAATCTCGTGGGACTTGTAAGTTAAAGAAATCATAATTCATGATAATATTATTATTGGTTTGATCAAAAATTACGATTTTTTTCTGATATTTTCAAAGGTATCGTGTTGGTCAGAAAAACAAATACTAACCAACTGCACGCATGGCCAAAGCGATCCATCGACTTATTGTATGTATCCATCATACTTCACTTACTTCATGGTGTTGGCGCTAATTGCCACGTCCATGTTGACTCAATTGTCTCATTTCACCAAAGCAACTATACTGTTCGTCATCACTCTGATGCATTGCGTTGTCAACGTAGTTACAGTAGGCACTGCTATTGACTGCGAAGACTCAATCATTTACAAACCGTTCAAGTATGATTATAATATACCTAATTACGTCCCTTATTGACACTCTAGTTCATTTTAATATGCAGTATGAACTCCATGTTTTTCGTCTTCAAGTCAGAAATATTATACATTATACTAATAATATATGGGTAATGCACACGCGTACCTACTAGGACACAAGGTATAATTTGGTGCCCAAAATACTAAAATCTAGAACGCCACCTTCAATTTGTCACAAAATTATTATTATTTATTTCATACAATTGTATTAATTTAATAGAGTATCTGAATAAAAAGTATAACAAACCGTGGCAAGACGACTGAGCGTGGAAATATTGAGCATAACTGACACATGTGGTTTAAAAATTAAATGAATAAATAAAAAGAAGGGAAGTATAGATAGATAACCGCTCTGCTGTACTGCTGCAGTTGTAGGTGTCGAGTGTAAATTTCGTCATTGAGTCCTTATAATATATATTGTGTTCGATTTGGTTTTAATGAGAAATCATTGCTTTTGAAAAATTATTCTGAGCGGAGACAGTCTGTCAGACTGTATTTCGTACTATGTACAATTTATGATATACGAGTATATACCTACATTATTTTTATATTTAAGTAATTTATTTTACTATTAATAATACGTAACTTGAACTAATTTTTAACGAAAACATTGCACTTGAAAATGTCATTGTGTGTATAAAAAATTATATGTTACAACTAACCACAAATAATATTTTTAAATTACAACAGAATAACTAAATTCGACGTTCTTTGTTTAAATATCCAATTTCGTCAGTTTAAATTAACTCAAAATGCGTATAAAAAAACCGTGTATATATTTTTTATATTTTTTGGTTACAGTAGATATATAATCTACTTTCCAGGAACGTTTTATTAAATTTGTAAGCTTTAGCTGTAAAAATTGAATATTTCATACATTTTTAACAACAAAATAATTGGATAATTTCGCAAATCTAACACTTCAGCAATATTAAATAAAATTGGATGGGCAAAAGGTGGAGTGATACGATAATATGATGATTATATAAACGTATAATGCCACTGATTTGGGGTGCACTTATAACTTAAAAGTAGGTACATACCTACCATGCTTTATTCCATAATTTATTGTTATTCCCCCTCCCTTAAAGAATTGAATGATTATCTGAGTGTCAGGATCAGGACACTATCTGAAAAGTATAAACAATTATGTTTTAACTAATTATGAACATATAGGTACCTAATTCTACAATCTTTTTCAGAGTTTTGCCATCGAAGTATGCGTTGTCGTTTCTACTCATAGCAGTCACAATGGCCCTGGTGTTTTTGGCTAGAAATGTAAGTTTCTATATTTTCAATTTTGTAGAAACAACACCATCGTAATGTTATTATCTACTTGTCTCTGTACGAAATGTTTGATGTATATTCAGATGGACAAATCGTCGAGAGTTCTATATCTGTGGCGAACGGAAGTCGAAGAACAGAGGGAAAGGGCTTCAGACATACGAAGGAGAAATGAAGCATTGGTGTACAACATTTTACCTCCTCACGTAGCCAAACATTTCTTAGGTAGTTACAAACGTCAGCACGAAGAACTATACAGTCAGAGTTATGCCGAAGTTGGAGTTTTGTTCGCATCTATGCCAAACTTTTCAGGTAATTTCCAAGTTAAATGTTTACTATATAATTATATTATAATGTTACCACGTACTATTAACAATTAAGTAATTACCTGTAGTATAATCATGTGTTTACAAACAAAATTAATTGGTTTAGATTTCTATTCGGAGGAGACGGTTAACAATCAAGGCCTCGAGTGCTTAAGATTTCTCAACGAAGTTATATCTGATTTTGATGCGGTAAGTAAACACATCGTATACTTCCACCATAATATATTAGTGTTATAAGTGTATAACTATTTAATACCAATATAAACTAATTCATAACTTATCTATATATTATTCACAGCTTCTGGAACAACCTCGCTACCAGGATATTATTAAGATTAAAACAATCGGTTCAACTTATATGGCTGCAAGTGGACTAAACCCTTCGCGTGTCGTGAAGGTAATATTGATGCATTAATTACCTAGTAATATTATATAGGTACTCAATCTGACACATTTTAATCAATTATATCGTTTTGGTACATAAATCCGATGTCTTAGCCTGAAGATCCAATTGAAGTTAGATGGGCACACCTCGCATTGCTGGTGGACTTTGCTTTCGATCTCAAAAAAGCACTTCAGGGGATAAATGAACAAAGCTTTAACCACTTTGTATTGAAAATGGGTATGTCGTGCTTAATTTATTTGGTACATGGTTTGGTTTTTGCCTACCATAACTCATCTTATGAATACTTACCAAACATGTCTTGTCACACAGTAACAATAATAATACAATAACACAACTATTACAGCCAACAGTGACTCCATAGCACTACGTAATTGGACGGGGGTAATCGTAATTTTATTGTTTGTCATATTAGGGGAAAGGTTTCCAGTTTGCCGACCTATATCGAGGTATATATATGTGTGTGTTGAATGGTTATTATTTTTATTTGTGGACAATTTGATGCTGCGCCGGTTAAAAATAACATACCTACCTACTGTTCAAATATTACACCTTGCGGGTATAAATTGGCAAACAGTTGTAGAACTAACAAAAATTAACTTATCAGTTGTTGTATAAACACTACCATTCCAAAGGCATCTTTAAGACCACAATATAGTATTTATAATATATTTCATTTTATCGATTGATCTTGTAGACTTGTAAAATGGTCGAAGAACAATTTTTCATTCATTACTAATTTTATTTTGTTCGTGGATATCTGAAAAATACATTTCTTTTGAACAACAGTATGTGTATGGAATGTTAGACCAATCAAATAAGAAATACAGACAAAAAGTGTTCTATATAAAATAAGAACATTTATGATCATCCTACGAATTCCCTACTAACAGAATATTATGACAATACCTATTATGTTTTCGAGAAAAAGATGTCGTTAAAAACTTATACCTACTGTTTAAGGCATACTAAAAATTCGAACTTGTCAACTATAATTTACTTAAAAATATATATATTGAAACAAATACTTATACATGTATAATATTTTTAGTGTTTTGTCGAAAGAGACTACCCATACGTTCTCTAACCTAAACTTTCTATAGGTTAATGCTGTGATAGGGACCAATCCGTGTGCTATTTTATATTGTAACTACATTATAACTGTTAAGTCAGTATATATTCGGATTAACGTCAATCTATATATGTTTAATCTCCAGTTGTTACTGTATTTTAGTGTCTAATTTAAGTGAAACCAATTTAAACGCGAAAACATAGGTAAAGCCAATCTACCAATTTGTATCTTTTACCTAAATATGCATTTTTATGTATGCAAAACTTAAAATTAAAATGTATATTTTTCTAGGAATCAATCATGGTCCGATAACCGCCGGAGTTATTGGTGCGAGAAAACCTCATTACGATATTTGGGGAAATTCTGTGAATGTGGCGTCAAGGATGGAGAGCACTGGAAAGGCTGGATGCATACAAGTATGTTTCTAAGTCTTTCTCGATATTTATTTAAGCTCTCAAATTATTAATCTTTAACAACTGCCTACGTATAACTATATAAAATGTATATCGAACACGTTTATGACCATCCAACATGTACCTTTGGCATAATGTGTATTTTAATTTTTCCTATTTAAGTCAAGGGCTGAAACCTTTTGAATTTAGCGGTATCGGTTCCTGTACTGGTTCTACAAAAATAAAATAACTTTTCCGGTTCGGTTTTGATAAAAAAAAAAAATAATAAGGTACCCATCGATTCCAAATAATTTCGGTACCGGTTACAGATAATTTATGCACCGAAAAGTATAATAATCTTAAATACCTATCCGGAATGAGGGTTTAATTAATACCATGAGAAATATTAGAAAAATCATATAATCATACATAGTTTATACACAAAACAATACCTACCATTAAATTATGATAAACAAAATTATTTGATTTTTGAACCTAAAAGAACCTATTAGTTTTCAAATTTTCAGTTCGGTTCTGGTACTTTATATATTAAAATAAAGGTTTCGGTTCCGGTTCTTAATATTTTAAAGGTTCCGGTTCTCTTAGGTTCGGTTCCAGTCCCTGATTTAAGTATAGGTAGGTACGTTTTTATAATAATATTATATTCTGCTCGTGCATGTCATATACTATTGACACCTATGTGTTATATCATATAAGGAAGTAAAAACGTAAAGTGCTATAACTTCAACCTACTATATTATAATATTATAGCGCAATATTAATAATAATTTTGTATGTTCATGAAACAGGTGACCGAAGAAACGTGTAATATTCTGCAACATTTCGGGTTCAAGTTCGAACAGCGTGGCCTAGTGGCGGTCAAGGGCAAGGGGCAGCTGATGACCTATTACTTGGTGGGCAAAGGGCTCCAACCCAGCCAGGTGCCGCCGCCGATCATGGAGACGCTGCCGGAAGTGGAGGAAGAAGACACGGACGATAGCATGGTGGTCAGGCAGGCGCTGTTGCCTCGGACCGATCACAATGGGTCGGCCACCGCTTCCGGTTGATGAACAACGACAACGACTTCAATTATTATTTTATATTTATTATATTATAACGATGACGAGGACAACATGACATCGATCAATATACAACAATACATATTATAATATATTATATTTAAATTACCCATTTCCGTCGCAAAGGCCATACGAGACGTCACGCGAAAACGTCAGCTATTTCATATTATTATAATATAATATACGTCATGTGCCGAAAAATAATAATTTAAAAAAATAGCTGATATGTCATATTATTATTATTATTATTATTACCTACGATAACCTTAAGATATAAGTGTAATTTATTGTTATGTTTGCTACCTATGTGTTTATGGTCGTACACTTACTGATCTATTCTCTAAACAAGCTTTTTATAATTTTATTATTTCTTTAGTATATTTATCGGTTTCAGTTTACTTACATTTTCTTTCTTTTTTTTTTTATCGATAATACCACCGTTAATGTTAAACATACCAAGGGATCGTTTAATAAAACCTTCCACCTTGATTGTATTAATTGTTCATATTGAACACGAAAACAAATTAATATAAAAACACAGCAGGAATGCTGTGATTTTGTTCAAACTTTGTTTTTTGTATTATAAGTAATGCGTGTATTATTACTATTACTATTACTATTATTTTATTATTATTATTATTATTATGATTATTATTGCTATCACCGTCATTGTGCTTAGATTTAATCTGAGTTGACATTTTTTTTTTTACTTAATAATAATAATTATTAACTACTATTTACTACCAATATATAGGTATTGTTACCGCAACTAATATAATGAGTGCGATTTACATACATATAGATCATAATAGTACTACATAGAACATAATTATTGCTAATTTATAATCATAATAATAGAGTTGTTAATATTTTTTTTTTCACCGGTAGATATATTTACTATTATTTTATAACAGAGAATGAGAATGGAACTGCTTATTTTAAAAAATAAAACCTGCCCTTCAATTTTGTACCTAATTTGTTGTCAGTTTAACTGAATAACACGTTGAACAATACAATTATACAATTGTGTTTGTTGTAAATTACCCCAAACATAGTCCAATATAATATTATGTAGGTAAACCCTACAAATTATTACAACTAGGTACCCAATAATAGTCACAAATTTAATTATTGAGTACCTACATAATATGCATTTTACCGTTGTAATTTGTAAAAGTTCTTCGTAATATCTTTATTATATTTTAGTCATTCTCCTATATTGTTTATGTTTTTTTATCATTATTATGTTCGCTAGTGTTAGGCTCAACAGTGAATACTTTGTATATCTATACCTTCATCTGACCTGAATGATTTATCGTTCATAAATAATTTTTATGAATAGTTTTTTATGCATTCGTGTTATTAAAATTTAAATACAATAGACTTCACTTCACAAATTATTCTATTCGATTTTTAAACACTTAATAATGTACAACTTCAATCATTAATATAGTCAACTAAATACTGAAATAGGACTACCTACCGTTGTTTTTAGGATACCTACCTATTCTGAAATCAATTGTGGTTTACTTAATATAATATGTTATTATTTCTTTTGAAATTTACTTTTCAATCGACGGTTAAATACTTAACACGATGAAAAATAACGTTGCACTAATTTACAAATTTCATTTTTTTTTATCGTGTTTTATAAATAGTTGAATTTGTCCTCAAATTGCCTATTATCGGTATAATGTAATTTTAATTAAATTTTTAGACAATTAATTACCTAGTCGTATAGTATGAGGCTTTTAAAATCTTAATGACATTATTAAGAAGCATGTGTTTAAATTTTTAATTCATGTTATTTTGTTTTTGTTCTTTTTGTTTTTGTTTTTAATAGTTGTGTATAATACATCATTATAGCCAATATATCTAAACATAATTTATAAGAAAACCAAAATCAAATTTTATATGGTTATTAAGATGGTTTTAATGTTACCTTATAAATATTATTATTATTATTATTATTATTATTATTATTAGTGTATCCTTATTTATGATAAGATAATGCATTTTAGACAATGATTGAGATTCTTGGTGTACAAAATCTATATAGGTTCGATATAATATGTATCTACATGTACACTTACTTTTTTTTTTTATCTCAATAAAATAAATATTGATAGTTTGATGAATTTGCATTCGACTTTACTTCATCACCTATCCTTGTCTCAAAATATAAATCTCAAGTCTTTGCTAGGAAAAAATGTTTCCTACCATAGATCATCCATTCACCATTGCTCACCGACTCGCGTATTTTGAAAACATATAATATCACGATCGACTCATTTAACGTGCACCCTTCACCGCCTCAAGATGCAGATCCATCTGCCACATTATAATTTATCACTTATACAATTACATTAAATTATGTTTGCCTATTTATATTTGTACATGGATATACTTAGTCGTTATAAGGTTTAAGATAATTATATATCATGTCAACATTGTCAACAATTACATATAGAATAGGTAATCAATTAATAAGTAACTTATTAGTTACTAATAAGTTACCTACTCGCCTTTATGGCTTTATACATTATCATATAGCATATTTCTTATTAATATTCTAAACTGGAAATCTTTCGTGTTTTATATTTTAGCCTTTAGGTGTTAAAATATTTTGCTGTGACCTTATGTGGCACTGTGTGTAGCTCCTATTTTATTATTGTCTTTATCAGTCATTTTTTAAGGACATATTATTGCGGACTTGCGGTCAAAATGCATTTTTAGGGGGTTATTGCAATTTTTGGAGAACTTTTGGATAGTCTTAAGAGCATTTAAATCCGGGTCCGTGGTTATAAACCCATACAAATTAAACTACTCATACAAAATGTATTCCTTAAATTACTATGTACCTAACTAAAAATGATTCATATATTTTATCACATTTACACCATGAACTATGATTTATGATTTAAAGTACAATAAAAATAACAACCAAATTAGGTCAAAAATTAAATTCTAAAAGTTTAGATTGTAATAATAAAGGTAAGATTTTTTTTTATTAATAGTGGGCGGACTGGAACCGCCCCTGCCCATCGCCACCAAAGCAATGGTTAAAGGTGATAGCTATTATTGGTAAACCAATAGGTAGGTACAATTTTGAATTAAAAAAAAAATGAGATTTAAAATTTATATTGAAATTGAAAAAAAATGTAATATATTGATTATACCAAAATGATAATCGTTTTATTTTTTTTATATGTACTATTCAAATAGATTTTAAATTAAATTTAAATAATTAACAATTTAAATTCAACTATTTTATAGACCGTTTATAATGTAGTTTATGTCTAAATAATAATAGATAATAACAAACAACTAATATTTCGTTTTCTTGGGTCAATACACGGCAGTGCAAACAATGACAGGGTTCTTGTAGTAAAAATCAAAATTAAAATCGTAAAAATGTAAAATTAATATTTTAAATTGAAAAAAAAGAAAAATTATATTCAAATAAACCTCATTATAAACCATAAATCATAAAACAACTAAATCAATAATGTAAAACAATGTAAAAATCATAAAATTATAATATCAATATATACCTAGATATTATATTAAATTTAAATCAGGAAAAACTTATATCAATGTTGAAAAGAAATTAAAATTAAAATGTTTAATTTTGATATCAAGCCCTGAAAAATTCAGGATTTACTTATTAGTTCCAAGTTATAAGATTTTGATTTGATACAAGTTGTTACAAGTTATTTATTGAATTTTTTTACTATAATAATTTATAACTAATATTAAAAAAAAATATAGGTAGTAATGAAGATTGTATCAATCGATGGCACTTACACTACCGATTAGTTCTACCAAGTGTTCAATGTTAAATTGTTATAACTTATAAAACATTTTTCCTCAAAATAGCCAATACTATATTACTATCTCATAATTATAAATGTCCAGAAAATGTAGCACCCTCAGTTATTTTATTGAAATTGCGCGTTAAGTCACAATGGAATTTTGCCTGAGGTAGGTAGTACAAGTTTTATTTAAATTTCTTAATGCAAAAGTATTATAAGTTTTTTATAGATTTTAATTTTAAAGAAAGTTATGAGTGTTTTAAAATGCTCAAATATTTTACAATTTTAAAATACTCATAAGTTGCTTTAAAATTAAAATATATAAAAACCTATGCAATTCACTAGATTATTATAATATTCTTACTTCTAAATTGTAAAATAAACTGTTATACTGTGTGTACAAAGATCAAGTCCATGATAATATTTTTGAAGACATGTAGGGTATGGTGATTTTAAAATATTAGGCATTAATATTAATCTGTCAACATTTAACATTTATAAAATTATCCACAACTGCCCAGGTATAACAATTCCAAGATTGAATATTTTTAATTATTATATTAGGTATAAAGATTAATAAAACCTGATATATCAACATTTTCAAACCAATTAAACACTGAAAAACAAACAATAAACGAGGAGGAATCTTATTTGAAAAACCGAAATTTGTATCAATTAGGAAACTGCGTAAAAAGTACAAAAAATATTCAAGAATTTAAATAAATTATTTTATATAGTAATTAAAATAAAAAAATTTCAAAAATCAGAAGTCAAATATATTCGTGAGTAAATTAAAAAAAGTTTGGCAAGTGAGTACTGGTCTATTCTACAGTCGGTGATGAATAAGTAACTGAAATTAATGTGTTAAATTTGATTATAATAATATTAAATCATAGCATATGAAAAACCATTCTGAGAGAAAACAGTCTATCAGTCTATATTACTGAATATTCAGATATTTTATTATATTATTGCCATGAAAGCATTTTATTTTACTATAAGCGGGACTGTAGATTGAACTAAATTTTGCCAAAAATATTACTTGAAAAAAGTAATTATGTGAATGAAGTATTATATAATAACCTCACTTATATTTCAAGTAACTATACAAAATATAATATTTTTTAATTAAAATAAAACAACTAAAACTGATGTTTAAATATCTAATTTCAACCAATATTGAACTTAAAATATTTATATGTGTGTAAGTATATATTATTTTGATTTTTTGGTCACAGTATTAACTACTAATGAAAAACCTTGTTTTAAATGCTCAATCCTTAGAAACAGAAATTAAATAATTTACATATGTTTTACTACAAAATTATCCGCAACTTTTTGTAATATTGCCAAATATAGTACGAAAACATTTTACTTAAACAACTAAAAACTATACAATCATGAATTGATAGAAAAACAAAAAATATATTATGTAAATAATCATGTATACAAATTAAATATTGGCACTTGTTTGCAGACATGTTTCAAAACTTCTAAAATGTGAATTGTGATTACTGATTACTGATAAATTAATAATTATGCAGTCTATACTCTTCAGAACCAGAAAATGCTAGTTGCGGGCTACTGCACAGCAAACAAGTAACAAGATATAAGTGACGACAGTACAGAAGATGTCATGAAGTGTGGTGGTATCTCTATCTTACACACTGGAAAAAATAACAGATGTATTATATGTTAATGTCACAGCTGTGAATATTAAATATATTTAATTCCATTTTTTTCATTATATATATTGTAAATTATATAATTTGTCATAGAACTCTAAATTAAACAAACTGCATAATTTTAAATAGTTTATGATAAAACATTTTTATTATTAAAGTATATTATGTATTATATAACATTTAAAAAAATAGAATTTAAAAATAGTATTTATGAAATTAAAAAAATGTACATCAACATTAATTTTTGGAAGAATAATTTTTGTACTAAAATTAATTAATTAATGCCATAAACAATTTTAAAGCTTAGTAAGCTTTCAAGTTAAATTGCTTGTCCATGTAGTTAAAATTTTTTCAGCTTCCTTTAAAGTTTCATCTTTCTATAAAACAAAAAAGTTTAAATTTAATGGTTTACTTAAAGGAAGGAACTATTTAAAAACATTACTTTAAAGAAACAAAGTCGCATATAGTCTTGAGCACATAGTTTACTTCTTTCGGAGAAAAATATTGAAAAAGGTATACTTTGAAGTTTGACATTTTTGGAAAGCCATTTTGTAAACCGTAAGTCCATGTATTCATCAGTTTCCAGGGTTAAATCTATTTTATTTTCTAAATAAACAAATATGAACCATTGTTTATTATAAAATATTATTATTAAAAGGATGTCTTAACAAACCAAACATTTTCCAATTCGAAATTATAAAATATCCGCCATCAGGTATAATAGGTTTGAAGCCAGTTTCTTTTAATACATTAGACAAAAAATGCATTTTTGGTTTTAACTCTTTGGATAAATTTTGAAAATAACTTTCTGGTGTATCAAGTACACTGATTTCATGTTCAAATGCTCTTGCAGTAGCTTCCTGAACGGGTGTTGCGCATGTATAAATAGTAGTCTGATGAACAACCATTAGATTTTTTATAAGATTAGCCGGACCATATGCCCATCCAAGTTTCCAACCAGTCATACTAAATGTTTTTCCAGCAGATCCAATTGTAATTGTTCTTTCCCACATGTCAGGAAGTGTAGCTTAAGACAAAAAATAAAGTTTTAAATGTATAGGTGTTGTTATATTATATTCTGCAATATAAATATACAAAATTAATTTACCCATTCTTATGTGCTTTGCTGGAGCATATACCAACCACTCATATACCTCGTCAGAAATAACTAAAACATTATGTTTTTTGGCCAAATCTGCAATCATCGTTAACTCGTCGTAATCAAATACTTTTCCCAATGGATTATGTGGTGTGTTTATGATGATAAGTTTAGTTTTAGAGTTGAATAGTGAGGCAAGTTCTTCAGGGTCAAGTTTCCAATCACTCGAATGTGATTCTGAACTATAAGGCTTTGTCTTCAATAATAGTAATAAAATGTTATTGTTTTTGTAACTTTTTGTGATTTATAATTGTTATAATAATTTCCTTACATTTTGTAATGATATGAATTTGGGGTGTCCTCCAGCTATACGTATTAATGGTTCGTAGCAATCAAAAAAAGGTTCAATAATAATTGCTTCATCGCCCACGTTTATATTACTCTGTATAGTACAAAAAAGTGCTTCATATGCTCCAACGGTAACCAATATTTCATTCAGTGGATCAATTTTCCGGTTAATTAGGCTTGAATATAGTTTGGATAATGCATTCACCAAACGTACATGACCCTAGAATTAAAAAAATATATTAAAATGTCTGCTTAAAAATATTACAATTTTTTTAACTATAGTATTACCATTCCACGTGTATATTGATGAGAATATAAATTCTTTTCTGCAGCCACTTCTGCTAAGAAATTAGAAAACCGAGATGGTGGTTCATAATCTGGAAATCCTTGACCCAAATTCAAAGGCTTAGTAATCATAGCCAAATTGTTATATTCAATCCTATACAACAAAAATAGATTAAATGAAACACAATATTTAATCAAAATAATTTAATAATATTACTGCACTCTGTTTATCTAAACTTAAAAAAATTAAAATAGTATTTACAAAAAATTTAATAATTATTGAAATAACAAGACTTCTTAAGACTTAATGTAAATGGATTACCCAGTAAAAGTCTTTCAGGATAGAATATGATTAATATACTGATATGAATATTTCCTAATTTCTGGGATAAAAATCAAAAATCTGAATTGTTCAATGAATTTTGAAATTTTAAGTATAATATAGTATAGGCTAGAGGTCGTCAACTGGCGGACAGCAATCCAATCTAGCCCGTACTTAATTTTTAAGGACTCAGTTGGCAGCATAATTATAAAATATAAAATATAGTTTATACATTACATTTTTATAACAAAATGTCAAATAAAAATATTTTTCGATATTGTGAGTACAGTATACAATATATACGTGAAAATAGCAGATGAGACTCAAACATTTTTGATTATACTGTTTATTTTTTAACTGGGTGGGTATTAATTTGTATTAGAATATATTATAAGAATATTCTGTTAATATACTACTAATTAATATTTTTATTTTCAGGTAAATAGCAGTGTTTAATCTTTAATTAAAAAAATTAAATACAATATTTTTATTAATTTCATTAATTTTAAAAGGTTTTAGGAATTATTTTTAAGTACCTAAATACTGTATATCAAAGTTTCATCACAAATTATTTAAGAAATTCAAAGGTTGTTCTAAAAATAATATACAAGATTACTATAAATTACTATTTCCTTTAAATGTACTGTCCAGCAACATGAAAATTTATAGACCGTTTCACTTATATTATAGTAGTAAACTGATTAGTTATTTTTGGTTTTAAACAGGAAATTCAGGTTTTTCAATGACCATTTGATTCTTCAAAATAGAACAATAATATATCAAACGATATTGGCAGCATCTAAATTTAAAAATACTAAAAAAAGAAGATATAGTGAAAACTGGACACTTCTGTCTTTTTTTCAAATCACGTAAGCTAAAAACAATATATTAAGCAATACTATATATTATACCTAGTTATATTTTTATCTAATTTTATGATACTTAGTTTAGTTCTCCTAGTGGTTATAAGTTTCTAGAGATAATAAAATACTTCCATTGTCATGTATTAAACACAGACACACAGTTGGAAGAAATTATTGAACTGTTTAAAGTTAGTTGTAGTTTTGACTTAAATTTCTTCAAACTATCAAATAAAAAGTTTACCACTAAAACCAGATAGTGTATGTTATGTTATTTGATGAAGTTTTCTCAAGAGAACTTAAATTAGGCTAGAAGACAACGGTAATAAAATATAAAATAAAATAAATAGCTCTAAAAAATACATACAAAATATTTTGATTTTTTTAAAATTTTAACCATCAGCAGAGCATGATCTGCATGAACATTACTACCCCACTGTACAAGACACATGATATTCGTAATTTTACTATACATATAAAATCAACAAATAAAATATATCTATCAGCTATATTTCTTGGTTGTAAGCATGAAGACTAGAGATAAGGAGGCCAAACTCTACCACAAAAAACGCCCCGTAAAACATACTTTATTACCTTTCAAAAATTATAATTACACCATCATATTCAGCAAAAATTTATCTTTAAGAATAAATTTCAAAAAAAATATTAGTATTCTGTATTTAAGGTATAAATTTTATTATTAAATTAAGTATTTTAATTATTTATAAAGACAAGAAATGTATTATACTGGTGCATATTCTTTTCTAGTGGTAGATTCATATTTACGATACCAATTGATTACACTAAATTGAGGAAATATTGAAAATTTAAATATGTCTTTCTAGTTAAAAAACGATTGTTGAATTGTTCCTCTTCATCTAGAGATATGTAAAATAATTGACACAATTATTATTATTATTTACTATAGTCTACAGTTTGGATACTTTTATCTTTTTTTTTTTGTTTTTACCTTACTAGTCATAGTATCTGGTGAGGGGGGAATTATTTGAAATTAATAAATAATAATTAATTATTTGAATTTTACTTAAAATAGATAAATTTAAACAATAAGTAGAACAATAACTTACTGTACTAACAATAAAATATATTAAATATAGTTTTGATTAAAAATAAAAATTCTCACATTAAATAAATATATTAGGTACAAAACTTGGTACAAAACTATACAAGGTACAAACATTTTGGTATAGTTAAGTGTTTTAGTCCAAATTCTCGAGATTTGGGAAGTAACGAGGGAAGTAATTAATTATATTATATAATTTTCAATAATTGAAAATTGATTCAAACAGTTTAAAAATAATATCATCTCATTATAATTTAATACTTAGTGGATAACAAATAAAACACTTACCAAACATTGAATTTGCCAGGTTCATATCTAGATGCTAATTGGAACTTTTCCATTTTCTTTTGATGATTAAAAACTGAAGAGTATAAATTTCTTTTTGAAAAAAAATTTGAACTTATTCGCACAAAATCAACTCTTCTAATATTATTGCACAATAATATCCTAAATAAAAAACAACAGTATACATTATAAACTAGAACTAGGTATTTCAAGAATAGAATATGTATGTTATAAGTAAAGGAATAAAAATACTATTGGCAGTAAGTACCTTTGTGTTAACTACAAACAATTTGTACATTGGTTATTTTTATTATATATAGTAGATATAGGTGCTACCTACTCAATAAACAGTTAAGAACTGTGTCACTTCAATAAATTAGTATTAACCACTAGTTAAATGTGAGTGATCGCCTGTTATTATTGTACTACCACTGATCCACGACAATAATTGTCACTGATAATATGAAAACGGCCATAAATATCAAATTTAATATATCTGGTACAATAAATTGACCTATTTTTTTTAATGCAATTTTAACACCGTGTATATTAAGACAACTATATGTTTAATGAACTTACATATTAACACTAGATACTGAAATAAATTTATTTAAACTCGAGTGGATTGTAATTATTATGGTAATAGATAATGTAGAAATTAATTTAATATTAATTACAATTTGTAATATCACGAAACGATAATGCGCAGAAGTACCGCGACCTTAAGTGTGGGTAATAAAATGTTATAATTTCATTAGTAGAAAATAATAAAAGTGACGATTGTTTAATAGTAATTATTATAATATATTACCGGCAATTTGCTTATAAGTTATAACAATAATGTTATCATATCGTGATGATAAGGCAATCGCAACTGTTGACACTCAATGGTGTGTTGACACTTTATTTGTTCTTTGCTGAAACTTGTTACAGTCGTGTTAGTAGTTAGTTCATAGTTGATGACTGATGCAACAATTGTGGTTTTGTGATCCTAACGAACACATTATTACACATTAATCATTATGATTTGAACAACGTTCAATTAGATTGTAGAACCACTAAATTCGTTAGAACACTATTACGAATATTCTTTAAAAGAATTATTTAACTTGTTTACATCGCAGACAAAAATGTTATAATTACCAAATTACATCTGAGGGTCAAGGCTAAACAAGCGACTTGTCCGTTGGTAGCTTAAATCATGAATAATATAATCGGTACTGACTACTTGGTTGAATGGTTAATATTTCTGAAAATAATTTAACAAAACAAAATAAATCAATGAAACGGCACATCAGAATATCAGATAATGTTCAACAGATAACAATTATTAACAAAATACCTACTTTGGGTTATCACTAAGTTATCGATTATTACCAGGATACAAAATAATAATTTATTTTATTTTATTAAAATTAGTACCTAAGGCACCGATTTATTGTTGAAACCATAAAATCCTCTTCACGCAAATACGTATTAACAGCTATAATAATTTTATAGGTAGAAAAGAATTTTATCAGCTGTATCGTAAAGTTTTATTTTTAAATAGTGTTATTATAAAAGAAGTTATTAAATCAAATCTTAAACTTCAATAATTTCGTATTGTTCAATTATTTTTAATAATATATTTAAATAACATTGAGTATAGTTTCGAAAAAAAAATAAAAACCATAGCCACCGATAATGTTCTCAATATAAGGTCAAATGTGAAATTTGTATAGTTTGATAATATTATAGATCTTAGATACATTTTAAGTGCGCTTTATATTACCAACGTGTAAATGTTAAGCTGATTACTAGTAAACTGCAATACTAGCTACAAATTAATATATTATAGTGAAACTAGTTTACTAGTCCAATCTACTGTAACAGCATAATACTATGACATAAGCCAATACCACATACCTATGACTTATCAACTTATTAGTAGGGCATGGGAGTTATAGGAGATAAAAAGGCAAAATACGCACGAAAAATTGTAAAATATACAAAAAAAATATATCAAAACAATATAAAATTTAATCTAAATTCCAAAAAAAAAAACTAATTTTATAACTAATATGCACAAAAACAAATATGTTATATGAAAAAATAAATTTATAATATGAATAATAATTAGGTATGCAAATAAAAATATGATGGAAAACAAGTACCAGTAAGGTTGGCATTTTGAAATTTTCTCGAACTGTAAAAATATTTTTAGTATTTTTGAAGTTGAAATAAATACCTATACATCATACATATTAGTTAATAGGTACCTGTGAAGTTATTGCATTACTTGCATTGAACCGCCGATATTTTCTTAAGATTTTCTAAAGAAATTAATAGTCGACTGCGACGATAACAATAAACTCTTTTATACCTAAATTTTTTTTTTTTTTTAATTAAGAATAAAAAATATATATATTTTTAATAATAAATAACATGACCACAATTTGCTTCTTATTTATATAAATTTCATAAATTAATGGTATGCAAGAAAAAAGCTAGTAAGTGGGTGTCGCTCTGATGTGCATTAGGTTAAACAAGTGGGTCACTGTAATGGATGGACTTCAATTTGAATTCAATGATACAATATCACTTTATACGAAAAACGATTCTGAGCTGAAACGGTTTGTACATTTAGAATATTTTATATGATACCTATTTATATCATTATTATTAATACGGTAGCTGGAAAATTGAATTAATACCTATTAATGAGTGAATAGGTATGTTGTAAAAATTTGAACTTTCAAAAAAACAAATAAAACACACGATTTATTACAAGATGCGCATATTGTTACCTAGGTACTTTACTATAAAGTATAAGCAAGCCAAGCGGCCAAGGATATAATTACCTATTATTCTAATCTAATCTAAGTACCTAATTGTATTTAAAATGTCTATTCTTTCTTTCCGGTTCCTTCAATTTTTTTTTTGTGGAAAATCATAGTCAGTTGAAGGAAACATAAACAGTTTTAGTCATTTGGAAATTTCAAAATGCTTTAAAGCTCGATCACAATATGACTAAATTAGAAATATACAATTAATGATGTTGTGTATAAGTAGCATGCAATTCACTATTCACAACTCGATAGTCTAAATAATTAAAATTAAGCATTGTTATCATTTAATACAATAGTTTAAATTGTTATTGTCAATCAGCAATCTTTTAAATGTTTAATAAACTTTATATAAGTATTTTAATCTCAAAAGTAGGTAATAAAATTAATAAGTAACATAAAGGTACCTAATAATAAATATTAAGTAGTCAATATTTCAGGGCTTATAAACGTAATACTTTGTAACTCTATAATGGAAAAAAAAATAAACGAAAAACAAAAAAAAAATTGAATACCTAACATTAAACATAATATGTCATTAATCATAATTAATGATTAAAAATAAACAATAAACGTATTTATTGTAACGTACAAAAAATTAAAACTACTGTTATTTGATTTAATCGATTTTGATTTTTGGTACAACTCAAAAACAAATAACCGTAGGTACATGAAATTTTGACTGAATGTTTATATTAGCATTTTCTATACACCATAACATTTGACAAATATTTTGACTTATTTTGAGCTGTTTACGGACATTTTCAGATTTTTTTTCTATAAATATCAATACAATTTTATTTGTTGGTTAAAAAAACTTGAAAATTTAATGGAAGGCTCTTGTATATTGTTTCAAAGGCAGATGAAAAAAATTCAAAATCCATAGTCACAGTTTTTTTTTATAAGCATTTAAAGTTCAAATATTGACAAAATACGTAAAACTGACGAAAATTTGCAAATTATTTTGAGTTATAAATTCATAAAAAAATTTTCTTTTTAAATCTATAAGATTTGAAACTGTAATACAAGATTCCTCATAAGATTTTCTACCTTTATAAAACAAAAATGCCTACAAGAAACTCAAATAAATTTTTATGAGCGTTTGAAATTCATATTTTTACAACATTTGATATTCATTCGATTTCTCATATAGTAATTTCCTTATTTTGTTGTAATTCAAAAACGAATAACTGTAGATACATGAAAATTTCACTAATTGTTTATATTAGCATTTCGGATTTCCTATACAATTTTGAAAATAATTTGACTCTTTTTGAGCTGTTTACGGACATTGTCAGTTTTCAATATTTTTAGTTTTTTTTTCTATAAATATCATTAAAATTTTATTTATTGGGAGAAAAAGCATGAACATTTAATGCAAGGCTCCTGATATATTGTTGAAATAGCAGTTGAAAAATATTAAAAATACATGGCCACAGTTTTTTTTTTATAAGTACCTATTTATAAAGTTCAAATTTCGACAAACTTTATCACATTTAAAATTTAATAATAATTTTGTAGTTAAAAATTTATAAAATGTTCAACTTTTATAGCTAAGGATTGAAAATTTAAAACAAGATTCCACTTAAATAGGTTATATATAAATTACTTTATTCACAATAATATCATCAAATATACTTCGTAATACCTATATCATGGGCTGACTGACCGTTTTCGCTCAGAATCGTTTTTCTTATACAATGATATTATATCATTGAATTCAAATTTAACACCATCCATTACACACTACAGTGACCCACTTGTAACCTACTGTACAGCAGAGCGATTTTTTTACATTGAACCCAACATAGTTTTTTTTTAAATCTTATAGTTATGAACAATGCAAAGTTAGCTTACCTGTGTTGAGGATAATTTATATTTTCCGAATTATTTTATCGTAAGTTTATTTATAAATATTGAATTTATTAGGTACTTTATAAGTAAATACATTTATTTCTGTAATATTCAACTAATTATCCATTTATGTTCGATTTAAATAGCGCAAAAATGCGGGCGTGTTATTTGGAGTTGTGATAACTGATAAAGTGATAACGTACCTTTCGTCTATGCCCTATGGTGTATAATTGATAATTTATTTTATTTCAACAATAATTCATTTAAAATTGGCCAATATAATATTATTCCACAGTAGGTAAGTATTACACACTTTATTATTTAGTTTTACTATTCAATATTTTTTAGATAAAATTATTATTATTAATTATTATCTA